AGGCTGAGAGGACTGGGACTGTTTAACATGGAGAAGTGAAAGCTCAGGAGGATCTTAGCAATTTATATAAATACCTGAAGTAAGGTGCAAAGAGGATAAAATCAGGCACTTTTCAGTGGTGCCCAGCTGCAGGACAAGAGGCCATGGGCACAAACTGAAACACAGGAGGTTCCTCCTGAACATCACAAAACACTTCTTTTACTGTGAGGGTGACTGAGCGCCGGCACAGGTTGCCCACAGAGGTTGTGGACTCTGCCTCCATCCTCAAAAGCCACCTGAACACAGTCCTGGGCACCTGACTCTGGCTGGCCCTGCTTGAGTGGGGGCGGTGGTAAAGATGACCTCCAGAGGTCCCTTCCAACCTCAGTAGTTCTGTGATTTATAACTAGGTATTCTACATTTTTGCTTTGAATAACTAAGAACTTTGCAGCATTTTTTTATTTAGCTGCAACCCCATCTTCTATTAAAGATCTGTTCCTTTTGATTCCAGATAACTTTTTGGCGATAAGAATGCAGATTGTTCAGTTGAATATCCTACTATGTGGGGCACAAGCTATTGTTTACTACTAAGGGTTAGACTTACAAACAAATGAAGTAGATATCTGCTTTCATAATGAGACTTGGTATGGGTACATCTTTTGAGCCCACGACCCCAGGCTTGTTCTTGCATTTTTCAGTGAAGACAGACCGCAAGATGACTGTTGTCTTAGCTAAGAGGGTAGGAAAGGTGCAAGGTCTTGTATAATGTTCTATACGCTGTTACTTAGTGACAAAGTAACTCCACTGAGTGTTCTGTAGATTTACGTGTACTGTAGTTTTCAAGTTTCATCTGAACTAGGAATTAAGACTTTTTAAAGTAAATGTTCAGATCTGCATGTTCTTTTTGAAGCTTGTCTTTCAAGGGTGCTTTGTTTTTATTCAGTAGGATGATGTATTTTAGAAGATTTTTTTTTTTCTTTAGCATACAGATGTCATTTTTCTTACACAAAGACTGTGGGTATCAGATTATATAAAGATTTGTGACAGGAATGGAAATATAGATAGCAGTTCATGAATGTACAGATTATTTCAGCGGAACCTACCAAGAATGTAGTTGTTTCAGAGATCTGCGGAGTAGCTACATAGGATTCAATCCACAGTTTTATGAAATGCTGTTCTGTAGGCTTCCAACTGTGGTGATGTATTTGTAAAATAGTCCTGTTGCCACTCCCTTCAGGACTCTAATTTCAGTCAGTCGTTGCCACAGATGGAGGTAGATGACTACATATGAATGTGTATATGAATGTGTATATGGACACATGTTTGAAGCAGACAGCAAAAGCTGTCTTTCCGATAGCTAAAACTCCTTTGAGGTGTTTGTCCATCTGTACACTGGCAGCCACATCTGTTAATTCGGAGTCATGTTAATAAGGATGTAGGATTGTGGAGATAAGAGGAGCTGTGAAGGGTGGGAGATGAATTCTGTGTGTTTCGAAGTGCTCTAGCACTTTGTTTCCCATCCTGAGAGGGCAGGGCAGTTGGACCATCAGATAAGGTACGAAAAATTATCCAGTTCAGATGCAGGGGCAATGTGGATGCTCCTCAATGATAGATGTAGCATATAGACAGAACTTGAAAGGATGTGCGGTTCTTCATATGTAACGTTAATTTTTAGTTGAGTAATACCTGAAATAAGGTATGTGATTTTCAAAAAGTTAATCATTTAATATGATGGTCCAATTTTTGGAGCGTGGGAGCTGTCTGTGCATTTTGAGATCCCCTGGTTTGATTCTTCTCTCTTTAACATGACAACATCTTACATCTATTTCCCTCGATAGTCATCTCTTCTGCGGCAGCTGCCCAGTCTCACTGGGCTGCTTTCTCTTTTTCCAGTGTAATCAGATGTTTCCCATTTTCTATCTTCTGTGTACTTTCCTCCCTGCTCCAATGCCCTCCCTAAATAAAAATATAATTGCTCACTTTCTGATTTCCTGTTAGTCTGGATATTTACTTCACCTCTTCACCTGTTCAGATCTTTCTATTATTTTTTTTCTTTTCCTCCCTCCAGTGGGCTTTTTCCATTTTTGATGGAAATAGATTATAGTTTTTTGTCTTCTGTGGGTTTGTTTTTTTTTTCCTTCCTCATAAGTTAATAAGCAAATGAGGTAAAAATTTCTAGAGGCAGTAGGAGGTATCAGAGTTTTTATTGGAAAGTACAACATTTCCAATAGAGAAGACAATTAATATTTATGCTCTGCTTCTTATTGCTGCCAACTACATAAGGATGTGACCTGAATTCTCCTGAAGAAGTATCATGTAAGTTTGCAGTAGTTTAGTTTGTTGCGTAGTTGTGTAACTGCATACAATTCCTGCATGAGTTCCTAGAGTTAATATGTTCTGTGCTTATATATTTTCCCTTGGGGTCGCAATGCCTTAAGTATTGCTGTAGCATTATGCATAACCCCTTCCTGGGTGAAAAGTCCAGAGAGAATTAGCCAGTTCCTTTGCAGCATTGTTTCTTGATTTGAAAGTTGGGAGTTAAAGTAGTGCATGTTTAACTGCTGATTTTTTTGTATGTTTGTGTATCTCTGTATTATCTTTGTTATAAGACTTGTAATGCATAAGTGTTACTTTCTAGTGCTGGAAAAGGCAAATGTATTTGTTCTTCTGTTTCAGCCTCCATTAGTATCCAGTTCAAGGCTGTCAGGGCAAGTTTAAGTAGATTAGTGAATTCAGATAATTTAACTTTTTTATTGTGACTATTAAGGAAATTAATTTGTTTCCTGTAAAACGATGACTTGCAAAGTTCCAAGGTAGTCATCAAGCATTAATGTGTTTTCATTATGACTCAGAGAAGTAAGGCAGAAGATGGCATGGAGCACACACAGAGGTGTGCAGGTCTTCTAGTGGTATTTGCAATTCTAGCATTGATAAGGCAGGCAACTCAAAATGGTGCTTTTAAGAATGACTGTTTTCAGCATGTAGTCGATAAGAAATTTCAGAGGGCTCTTTAAGTATGTAACTGCAGGAGAAAACAGTTGCATGATCCTGAGATCCGTAACCCCTGACATGCCCTTCTGGGTTCAGTAAGGGCTCTTCTTAAAGCATAACCAGAAAAAAAATGAAGCTTTAGTGGATAACCTCCTTTTTATCCAGTGGCTGAAACGTCACTTTGGACGTGGAGTATTGAGTTCTCACATTGGTGATTAAAATGCAGTCTTTTGCCTTCACATGCGTAGTAAGCAGAGTGGCGTAATTTTTCTTGGGACAGGAGAAGGCTAACCTTTCTATTAAATCTGTGCTAAAAGAAATTCAAGGCCAAAAGGTTGTGTGTAAGGTGGGGAGGAAGAAAAAAGAGAATTGTGCGTTTGTAACCTGTTTGCCTGGGCCCTGAATGTCAGTCCTTCTTCCAAGGACTGCTTTATGTCTTAGCTCAGTGATTTCATTTTTCAGAATACTGGGATCTTTTCTGCAGTGTGACGTGTCCTCAAGAGGAGCATCATGCTGCCTAGCGGGTGTAGCATATTAAAAGTGATTTAGAAAATGATTCAAATTTGTGTCTCCACCAACTCAGAAGGGAGTAGAATCTAGTTTCTTCAATCCCTATGTGAGGTCTTTAAGTTTTTTCTGTCTTTGGTAGCATCCTGTACAGCAAAGCTTAAAGACCTCAGGAGGTCATTGAGTCTGTGTCCCAATCCTAGGCAAAATTTATGGTGTTTAGAAGAACAATTTTAAAGAATGACATAGCTCTCAAAGATCTCTCTTAAAATTTACAGAAGTAATTTCAACTTAGGGGAATCCTCTTGATGATTCATGTTACATCTCATTTTGTCAAGAACCATCAGTGAGCTAGAAATTTTAGTCCTATGTCTTCTTGACAAGACTTCTCATGTATATCCATCTCCTTCTAAAGTCAGTAGCATATACTCTTATTACAACATACTTTCTACTCTCAAAGATTTAGAGTATGTATAGCTTCATTTGGAGCAATCATGCTGTAAAAACTTGGAAAATGATTTCATTTGTGTGGAGAATTAGATAAATAATAGTAATACATTGGGTGAATAACATTTGACAGTGAAGATATGGGCTGGGGGGGGACGGGGAAGAAAGAAAGAAGAAAAAAAGTAAAAAGGACAACCAGACTGGATTTAAGGAAAAACTTGTGTGGTTTGGGTTTTTTTGTTTGCTTTCATAATAATTGGAATGGTTCCTACTGATACATTATCAAGCCTATGTTGTTATTTTAAGTGAAATTCTTATGACAATGTGTGAATAATGAAAAATAAATTCAGCTAATATAATGTATTTGGGAGATCCTATTTGTACGAATTAATGTCTGAAAAGGAAGAATAAGCCAACATTTCCAGCAATATTAATGTACATTTATACAATCATGGTGTCTTTGTGGTATTTTATAATAAGGTGATTACATCATTCATTTAAAAATACAAATTTTTGGAGGAGATAAGGAAAATAGGTATATATTCATTTGTATTCTAAGGTAATGTTGATTTTTTTTTTTTTTTAATAAGCCAGAGGCCTTTGGTAATTTTGGTGCATATATTTATACAAAAGCGGTCACGAAAATACTTAAATTTTGGCTTGGTTCTTTATTGCTCAATATTGAGACATAATGACATATCTTCTTTAAGATTTGTTATTGTTAAAATCCAATTCAGAATGCTAACCTGGTCAGGCTGTTGCATGGTATTTTAAATAAGACTTTCATGACCTCAGACTTTTCGTACAATTGCATTAGCATCTTTATTCAGTTTCTGTATATTAAAAAAAAGTCTTGTTCTAGAAGGCTAACATGCTGACAAATTTGACTGAAGAGCAAAAATTTTGAGAATACAAATAATAAATGCAAAACCTTTTTTTTTGTCTATATGTTCTATGATATGGTCTTTTCTTTGTGAATTGCCTAAGCTTGATAGCAAATATGTTTTCTGAATTCATTAATGTTTTCTCTAAATATTAAGAGTTAACAGTGCATACACTTGTGTTTACTTGCACAGTAAGAAAAGAGGAGGAAGATTTTGAAGAAAAGAAATCCATTAAGAAACGAATCAAAGAATTAAAAGTTTTGGACCCAAAGATTGCACAGAATCTGTGTAAGTAGATTCTGGCTTTATGGTAAAGTAGTGTTGTATAAATGTTTCATAAAAAATGTCTTTCCCTTATGTCTGACTGCCTGTAACCGCTTTCTCTTTAAAGTGCGTGAGAAGGTGTGCATATTGGTGTTAAGCCCAAGCATGTGAGTTGATACAACTGTTTAAAAAGACACAGAAAATAGTTAAAGGTTATTGCTTGTTTAAGACTGAGATTCTTCTCTTCTGCATGTATTGAAGTACAAACATACAACTATATATAATTATCTATCTATATTTTCAACATATTCATCAATTAATATCTGCCTGTCCCTCTATCCCCCTATGCCCAGGAAACAAAAAGACAGTAATGTCTGCAAGATGTCTGACCATCTCTCATGTAATTTACAGAAACAAGGCAATACTGAGTATTATGCAATAATATACAAATAAAGATAATAAATTTTTGTGGAGAAGAGCGTTATAAATAATAGGTTCCTAAATGCTGACAGAGATAAGATAGGAAATTATTGGATTGTGGTGAATGAATGAGCAGTGTTTATAAGAGCATTTAGTTTTTAAAATGTTTATATGGGTTTTGGTTTCTTGTGGTGCTCTTTAAGAGAAAGCTCTGCAAGACCACTGAAGAAAAAAGTGTATTTGTCACCTCTGCACAAAATACTGTAACAACAATGACTGTTCTGCAGAGCAGACTTGTCACTGGCTGCCTGTGGAGGTCTTCTGTGATGCTGGATGTTGTGCATAACAAAAGGATGGAGAATACTGGAATTGTAGGAGAACAGTAATTAAAAATACATTTTAAATTGTTATCTCTTACTATATTACTTTTCATAGTGTTTCTTAACCTGTAGATGCTATAACATGTTTAAGTGGTGTTCTCTAAGTAGAAAAAGGATTGTTGTTGTCTTGCGTTCTTCATTATGTATTGAATCTTTGTTTTAGCAATTTTCCTTGGCTCTTTCCGAGTGCCTTATGAGGAAATCAAAATTATGATATTGGAAGTAGATGAAACACAGCTGTCAGAGTCTATGATTCAGGTAAGGAAAATGACATTTTAAATCCCAATATTTCAGAGTCAGCTTCTCATTAAACAGAAAGCTGTAGCTAAAAAGCCTCTTAACATTAACTTTTGACTCATAAATCACTGCAAGAACCTTATTTTTTCTTCTGTGAGCTGTAGTTTTTTTTGTATTTGTAATGCTAATTTCTTTTAATGAAAGCAGCTGAATTTGTGTTCTGTATTTTCTGCATTCATATTGTCCACACCTAAATTGGGATTTTTCTTTGGGATATATTCAAACAGCATGTGACACTTTGTTTCTTCCGTAGTTACTAATTGTTTCTTTGATTTGTTTCTACCTCTGTCTCATCTGCACAAACCTGTTGCTGTGGTCGAAAACTAGATGGAAAAAGGTTTGGGGTTCTTTAGGGTTTTTGGGACTTAGTTTGTTTTGTTGTTTTTTTTTTCTTGGTTTTTTTTTCCCCTGTTGTGTTAGAGTTGATACAATATGGGATCTCGCCTTAGGGCATCCACAGAGACCACTTTTCTTCCCTAGAGTTTATTTGGATAGTGTTTTCCCTTTCTGTATTATTTTATTTAAAGCACATAATTAGTATGATTCTGTGTGGAAACAAAAGAAACTGAAAGTTCCTCGTGTTCTTTGCACAGTGCCATTTAAGGGTTGATAAGTTGAAGAATTGCATAAAATAATTTAAATAATTTAAATACAAATACTTCGCTGTTGAACCATGGGAAAAAAATATTTTGGAAGGGATGTCTGGAGGTCATTTGATCCAAGCCTCTGCTCAAAGCCAGGTCAACAAGAGCAGGTTGTTCAGGGCCTTTTCCCATTAAATTTTTAATACCCCCAAGGCTGGAGACTGTAGTCTTTCTGGACACCTTTTCCAGAGTTGAACTACCCTTGTGGTGAAAAACCTTTTTATTTCTATCTAACTGGAATTTTCATTTTTGCAACTTGTGACCTTGGCCTTCTGCTGCACACCTCCGAAGAGGAACCTAATTGCATCTTGTCTATACCCTCCAGTTGGTTACCTGAAGGCCACATTCTATTCCCCTGAGGCTTATTTTCTTACAGTTTGACAAACCCACTTCTCTCAACCTCTCCTTGACCGTCGTGTGCTGTGTTCCCATCATCTTGATAGGCGCCCATTGGATTTGCAAAGTTACGTCTTTAGACCAAGATTGTCTGGCTTTTGTACAGGACTCCTACATATTGTGATAAACTTCAAATTATTGCTATTGTGGCTCATAAAAGTCAAATCGAAATTATTATCAATCTACTAGACATGTGGCATAGGTTTCAATTACAGAGGATTTATATAGCCGATCTGAAAGTGTGTTAGAGACACGGGTATCAGGCCGTGCTGAAACATCCAAGAAAGATAACATTAGATTTTTTTTTTAGGAACATATGCTTTTTGCAGGAAGGTTGATCAGTGAAGAAATAAATGTAGGTAATAGAGAGTGTTGTAAAATGAGTTGTAACATTAAGGCTTTTTGAGATTCAAATGCGTGACTCATACTGCAACATGTAGTAATTTGTATTCGAAGGTCAAAACAAGGCAAATTTATATTTGTGCACTTTGCTTGCAAAATTAATTTCCACGATATTGGAATGTCAAAATAAGATTCTGTTGAGGATGCTGTACGATGTTCATGCTCCTTTTCTTCCCGCATCCCGTTTGCCCTTCAATTCTTGTCACTTGGATTTCAAAGGTCTTTAAACTCTGTTGAGCTATTTGGACTTCACTTTCCTTTAAAAGGAGCTTGTTTACTGATTGATTTGAAGAATGAGATGTTTCTCTTAAGAAATATTTGAAGGAACAAACATTAGCTGTCATTTCCAGTGACAGTATATGTAATCATTGTGTAGTTCTCTTTGTTTCGTTCAATGACGCAGTTAATATTGGCACTGTAACTATTACTTCAAGGTTATTAAGATGAACAGAGCAATTTACACCTCTAAGCTGTTTGTTTATTCTAGTTTGCACTTACAACACTTCTCTTTTTCAAGGTTTTCTTCATGCTCAAAAGAAGCATGATGTGTATCTTTATTTGGAATAATAGTAGAAAGTCTCTAAAATATCATGAGAAGCTGAGAAATGGAATATGCTGCACTGTTACCTTCAGCTTGAGCTCTGTCTCAGATAGTCCGTGCTTGCTCTGAGACTATAGAGACTCTCTATTTGTCCATAGCACTATTTTTCAGTGGTGAAAGGTTTGGCCTGTTAACAAAATTAGGTTCTCAACAATATCATGAAGCAACCTGTATATACTAAATAAATTGTATATATGAAAATTATGAAAAACTGACATCTTGATAATTTCTAGATGTATGAGTACATTTTTGTACATCTAGGCTCTGCGGAAAAAGATTGTCATACAATTAATGGGTAGTTAATTAATGGCATATTTTTATGTGAATATATGGTAAATATTCCATCAGTGGCAGTAAACTAAGATGAAAAACTTTAATTTCTCTGAGAACTGTTTACTTTCTTTTCTTTTTAATTTCTTCTGTGGACTCTTATTTCCATTTCTATGGTGTATACCTTGAGATAAAGAGTGCCTACTTTTCTGTGTCACACCTAGCTCCGCTTTATTCTCTGTGCGATAGGCATGGTTAACAATAGTAGGAGATACTTTTTTGACACTATGCTGATAATTTTGTGGCTCTTTTAATTGGTATTAACAGAAGAGTATATTAATGGTCCATGTATCCAGTTACCTCTCTATATAGTTCTAGGCATCAGAATTAAGTCTAAAGTATTTCTGACAATGTTCAAGTCTTTTTGTGTTTGGTTTTGGAGGGGAGAAAATAATTCTATTTAAGAAAAGGGTAAGAGAAGGTGAAGAGCTGAACGTGAGGTGAGGAATAATGTCCTACGAGAGAAGAGTGATGTTAGCAGCTGCTGTGATTGAGTGAAAGTCAGTGTAGTAGAATACAAGTGATAATGCTCACAGTATCCTATATGAACACAATTGTGTATATATAACAAGGCATACTGTTAGAGGGTGGCAGGTCTCACATGTGGGGTTTTTTTAAGCACGTAAATGATTCAAGGATTGCTTTTTTTTTTTTTTTTTTTTTTTTTTTTTGAAAGGTGGTGAAACACTTGCAGGCCTGAATCAAATGGAGATTTCAGCAGAAGTTACACTTCAAATTTTCTTTGCAAGTTTGGATGTAATGATTTTTATCAAATGGTTTCATCCAAGTTATTTGTTTCTGGATTTTGTCCATGCTATGAAAAATTTAGTCCTGTGTATTTCATCTGAGAAGAGCAAAACCATACATAGGTTTGCAAGCATACGGCTGTTTTTGTTTATTTATATGACAAATGTTAGATATTATGGTACTTCCCTCTTCTAGAAATTTCCTACCTTCATCTTTTTTTTTTGTCTAGCTTTAAATATTGTTCAGTGTATCCTAATGTCACAGTTTCTGAAGTTGGTAATTTGTCCTTAATCCTGCTCTTGTTATGCTTAAGAAGTAAAATATATCCATCCTCCCTCCCTCCCTCTCTCTCCGTTTCCCCCTTTCTCCAGTTAGAAATCAATTTGAGTTCTGAAAGACGTAAAATCTCCGAAAGTCATAATGTAATCCAAATAGTCATTGACTAATTATTGGAATGTTTCTTGTGACTTTGTCAAAATTCTTTCTTCTGCTTATTCTCTGTTTGATATTCAAAATGTACTTCATCTCTAGCAGTTCGAAAGCTTTATCTGAACACCATAAAGCAGCTTTGATATCAGCTGCTCCTTCAGATTTTTTTTTTACTGACACTCAATATTTAAAACATATATACAATGCTCAACAGTTTCTCAGTTTCTCTTTTTTAAAAGTTTTGTGATGATTTTTTCTACGTGTGAAAATTATTTTAGCATCAAACAACATTTTAATCTCAGTAAAGATTAAGGAATTGTAGTATATATATATAGAGCTGGTTATATGAATGTTGTACATCAAGACAAAAAATAAGTCGGTAATGAATTTCCAATTTAAAATATATCTTTTTACCCTCTGTACTTTTTCATTTTTGGTCAATATTACTGATTTTAGTACTGGACATGTTCATCCATAATTAATAAATGTAGACTTTTTTACAAAAATATTTTCCAAATATCATAATGGTAAGGATATAAATGACTACTGTCACAAATTCTTCATGCTGAAAGTCAGTCTGACTATGTCCAAATCAAGCTCCGTAAAATGTAATTTTAGATTATTATTTTAGGCATCATCATTCATGCATTTTTAATAGTTCTCTGTTTTCCTACCAAAATCCTGATATAAGCATGGACACTCTGTTGAAGTCTACTCTTTAGCTATCATTTACTCTTCCTTTGGTTTATTTAGACCTTTGCTTGTAAGTGTAGCTTTTCTTATTTGCTGACTGTACTTTCTTGATAAACTACTTGATCCTTACTTATGACAAAATATTGTAAAAAAAATTACCTATCTTAGTCCTTAGAATCAAAGTAGGGTTTCAGTTCTTAACATAGTAACTGTTTTTACACTAAAATAAAACAGTGATAAAGGACTTTCTAGGTGTTTTTATTAATTAGAAAAAAGGTTTGATAAATGCTAAATTGCCACATAATGACCATTGTTACGAAAGCGAAGAGATGAAGTTATAAAAAGTTAGAAGAAGTAGTATTTAACAGAATATTCAAGCTGCTTTTAAAAAACTTTAATGCTTTGGGTACATCTGTTCTTCAGTTACAAATCTAGTATTTTCACTCTTTAACAAGGGGAATATGTATACTGCAATCCAAAGGTGCTGTTGCAACTTGAATAAACACCTGGGGCTAGCTTTCAACTAGCTAATACGAGTTCTGAAGATAGCATAGAGCCACTGAGTTTACTACCAATGGGGAATAGGGGTATTTTTGGGGTACTAGTTAAAGAGTTGAATTCTTTCTTCTTACATTTGGGAAGTATGTTAAGCAAAGCATAGCTATGACTTTTTATCTCTCTGGCCCCGGAGAGACGATTTGTATATCTTAACTGGCTGAATTTCCTGTAGAAGAAGAAATTAGGATCTTTTGTGGATAAAATTAGGGGTGTTTTTAAGACTTTGAGATGGAGATCCTGTTCACTAAGTGAAGTAAATTGTTTTTCTGTTATTTGTGTATCACCAAAGCTATTTACTTGTAAAGTAATAAAACAGATTTTGACTTAACCTAAGTGTGTGCCTTTTCTGTTGAGTAATGGATTAATGTTGCAGTTAGTCTTTCTGATCCTTTCTTGAAATACTGTAGTAGGTGGTGGGATGGCTGTGTTTGCTGGGGCTGATTCAGTGTTGGAAGGATTGAATCTTTATTTCAGTTCAGAAGAGTTATCTTACCAGTAGACCAGAGAGTGTTTTAAGAAGGAAGACAGTTTCTCTCATTTTCTTACTATGATGGAAGCTTAGCCACTATAGGCCTCTAAGTGTTCAGGAAGCTCCAGGGAGTCTGAGGATTCTTCAGATGAACTACAACCTCCTTTCCACAAAGGCAGGTATTGATCTCTTCTCTCAAGTAACTAGTGATACAATGAGAGGAAATGGCCTCATGTTGCACCGAGTAAGGTTTAGATTGGATATTAGGAAAAAATTCTGTACTGAAGGACTGGTCAGACATTGGAACAAACTGCCCAGGGAGGTGGTCAAGTCCCTATCCCTGGAGGTGTTCAAAAAAACGTGTAGATGTGGCACTTCAGGATGTGGTTTAGTAGGCATGGTGGTGTTGGGTTGATGGTTGGACTTGATGATCTTAGAAGTGTTTTCCAACCTTAGTGATTCTATGATTCTGCGAAGGTGACATGCTTACATTTGCTTACCGGTGTTCACAAGACACTTACTTGGATAACTGTCCCAGCTCCCCCATATGGACTCCTGAATTCAGGTGAAGCTGAGTCCCACATCTGAATTCCTACTTCTGGCAAGTCTTCAGGCTAATTATTGTGTAAGGGGTTTAAGCTTTTGTTTTGAAATGCTAGAAAATAAATTATCTGTTTTAAAAGTTTTTTTTTTGTCTAGCATTAATAACTGTTGCCATCCTTTAAATGGATACGTTACACTTGAAATTCTTGTTCTATTTACTTCTTGTGTTTTGTTTGCATAGTGCCTATCAAGCATGTTCTTTCTTCAAAAATGATGTTTAAAAAAAGACTGCAGAAATGTTTGTATAATCAGCAGAAGATGCTAGCTAGCAGTATTGAATCACTTGCTTCTTACACTCTCAGTTACATTAATTTGTGTCGCCTATTTACGTTCTACTGTCTTCAGAGAGGAATGTTGTCTTTAGAATTGTACGATAATGATGCATATGTAATACCATTTGCCTTCAATAATACAAGCAACATAGAATCTAAGATTTTGAAGCATATTTTATTTTGCTTTATAGAATTTAATAAAACATCTTCCTGAACAAGAACAATTGAATGCATTGTCCAAGTTCAAGAGCGAGTATACTAATTTGTCTGAGCCAGAGCAGTTTGGAGTTGTGGTGAGTTCTGTTATGTTATCACTTTTTTTTGTGTCCTTTCCTGAAATACAGTTTTAATATAATATTAGAGAAACATACCAGTTGCTTCTCCTAAATGTGAAAAGGTTCCAGACTGGGAGGAGAGTACAAGTGCTGTTTTCTAATCGGACATTTAGTGGATGGGTATCCATGGATGTGGAAGGTCTGATTGTTGGAATATTGGAATGATTTAGGAATTAGGATTCTCTTTCTTTAAAAAAGTAATTTAATTTACTAAAAAAATAATAAAAAATCAATCACTGGTATTTTCTGTGGCAAAGTTTCACTGGGAGATGCAGAGCTGGTTTTGAATTTCCATAAATAAAATAGTTTGGCATTACTTCTTTTTTTGCATTAAGAAGTCTTAGCTTTTTTAGTGAAGTTTTCTGCAATTATGTTTTTCTTTCTATTTTCCACGTAAATGAGAAGAAAATACTGTAGTTATTATCAGGTTAGCCTGTTCTGCCTCCTTCCTCCTATGTTTTATAGTATCTTCTGTCAAGAATGTTTGTCACTTTTTCTTTTCCCAGCAGGAAGATGTGTTTATAATATCTCCCAGTTTGAATTAACAAAGGAATAGAGAAAAGAAAGTACTGTCAGTTCAGTGCTGGCAGTTGATGCTTTTTGTGGTAATATAGTTTACATATAATTTCTATGTAGGTCATTATTCATAATTGTTAATGATTTTGTCCAAACAAGCACAGAATAAGGCTATTTCTTTTACTGGGTGCATATATCTATAGAAGTCTTTGTTTTTTCTTGTCCACTCCTAGCATTTCAAGCTAAGATGCTCGTTAACTTCATCTCGGAGGATTTCCCTGAGAGGGAATAATTCTTTTAGTTGTGTCTTTGCGCTTAAGGAAAAGGAGTATCAGGTCTTTGTAACAGTAGGCGCTTGCTTTTGATAGTTATCTGTGTGGATATCAAATGCCTGTACTGAAATGTTAGAACAGCTGTAGTAAAGGTATGGGATATAAGAGCAGCAATCACTATTCTGAATCAGCTGAAAAACTTTGGTCTGGTCAGGAAGCGCCACTGCATTGAATTGGTGCCAGTTACATAGGTGACATAGGCAGTATCCACTGAGTATAGGTACTGGTAAAACAAAACTAGTTCTGAAGTGGTGCTTTTGCTGAAAGCTGTTTCTGCTGTTCATTTTCGATCCATCTTTAACAAGAGTAACAGTCATTGTAGATCTAATGTAATGCTGGTTTCTGTGTTCTTGGGAGTCTTCTAACTACACTCTGGGAGCAACAATAAAAGAGGAAGAACACCACCATTTTTAACACTTTTATTTATTTTCCAAGATTTTCATATATAGTTTTCTGACTGAAGCAGACAAATTATCAGTTTATTTGGGTCCAAAACTCTTAGTTACAAAAGCTAATGCAATATTTTGCTTTTTATTTCTTGTTGAGGTTTTATCAGACCTATTGACCTATTTATAGTTCATCCCTGTCTTAACCTTATTTTATTTGATTAAATTATCACCACTTATCTCAAAAGGTCATTGAGTAGGTCTCTCAGATTGTTTAAAAGACGTATCCTCCCTCAACAAAAAAAATCCAGTCAAAGTGTATTTTTTTGTTTTATGAGATGTAAAACTAATGCTTTCAGCATGTCTGTTGCTTCCAAAGAACACCAAAGTTCTAAAGTCAGAGACCTTATTACCTTTTCACTTGTATTCTTATAGCATTTGTTTATTCAGTTCAGAAAAGGGTAGTAGTTTCACAATGGTAAGTTTTAGGTTTGTTTTGTGCCCAGTTTGTATTACAGAGCTTTAGACAGAGAGAAACAGGTTCGCGGTTAAATCTACCATGACCGATGGAATTGAACATTTTGGTGGTTGGAATTGGGAGGAAGCTGTAATAATGGTTATTATGTTTGAATTAGTTCTCCAGGTGGAAATTTTGGTTTAAATCTGTAATTTTGTAAATTAGAGGCTCTACATTTGTTTACTCAGTTGTGGTAATCAACGTAAAGTTAAGATGCATCAAGATATTAATGTCTCTCTAAAGAAAAGCAAAACCACAAACCACAACCAAAAAAAAATCCCAAACCCTCAAAGAATTACTTTAAGAATTTTAAAAAATAATTTACATTGACTTGAATTGTACCTTCTGACTTGTCAAATTCTCTTTAGATTTTTCCATGGTTCTAGGCTTTGAAAGCTTTTGTTTTCTCACTTGCATGTTACTTCTCTTTCTTGAACATGCACTAATACTGCAACTGATACACAGTAGAGGCTAGTTCAGCATCCTTGGTATAGATAGCCAGATCTATGGTATAAGAGGCTTCTTATCTGATACAACAGTTGACTCCTTCCTCTCACTTTCTTCTTCCCTCTACAAATTTATTCATATCCTGTAGGGTGAAACAGCTATGCTGGATTCTCCAGAATTGTTCCTTGTTCTTGAAATAAGCCTTGATCATAAATGCCATTAAAGAATCTGGTGAGATTAGAAATGAGATGTACTAGGTTTAGTCTGGAGTCTCACATGATGTAAATTTAAGTAATATATTGTAATACATACATTTCCTTAGAATATGTTTCTTCACAGGCCTGTAGCTCAATCAGTACATGAGATGAGCAGTGCCCTAGAATGAAACTTCCTTATGTAATGAATAAAAGCTGTTGGTAGAGTTCCTGGTTCATTTGATCTAGAAGTTGAAATATTTGGAAGGGAGCTGAGAAAGGACAAAAGGAAGGGGGGGAAAAACCATGGTTAGGTAGAGTGAGTATGATAAAACAGAACTCTCTCTTGCATTTTTACCTTTACTGTAGTCTTTTAATATATATATATATGACTGACCCACATATTTAGATGACATTGTGATAAGCAACACAGGAAAAGAGGAGAAACCTAGTAATGAAATATTTCACAAAGGAAGTGTTCAAGCTCTTTTTTTTTTTTTTTTTTTTTTTCCTTGTGGTATTTGGTGCTGCAGATGACAAGTCTTTCTGTGGTTGTCAGAACTGGTTTTTGGTTTTTAAGCTTCATGCAAACATCGAACACTAGTTTTTCTTTTAAAAAATAAAAAAATTAATAATTAGTCTGTTCTGTGAGCTCTATAAATGCTCCAGTTTTGTTCAGTAACATTAAAAGTTAGTGGGTTTCCAGAAAATTTAAGATGAGAGTACTGAAAGAGCAGATTGTTGATGTAGAGGAGAGGTTCGAGTGTATCAGTTTTACTGAGAAAAATTCAGGTGTGCTGTGCTGATAAAGTAGACTGAGCACGATGATTCTCTGCTGTGGTTTAACCCAGCAGACAGCTAAAACAGTCACACAGCTGTATGCTTGCCACCACCCCTGCAGTGAAATGGGGAAGGGAGTCAGAAAAAAAGTAAAACTTACGGGTTTAGATAAAGACATTTTAGTGGGACAGAAAAGGAAAAGAACAATAATAATGATAAAGAATATACAAAGCAAGTGATGCACAGAACAATTGCTCACCACCTACTGGCAGATGGCCAGTTAATTCCAAAGCTGCGTCACACTCCATCCAACTACCCCCAGTTTATATAACTACACCAGCTACCAGGAAGAAAATTAACTCTATCCCAGGCAAAACCAGGACATAATCCACCCACCACTTATTCTATACCTTCTACGTCATGCACAGATCCCACATTTTCCAGTACATTCCAATTAATCACCACTGCTTTTCCTGTCTTTTGATATATACACACAGATATCTTTACCTTAGTCTATGGGCCATCACTCTAAAATGTCTGTTGAGTTCACTGAGTTCATGACTTTTGGCTCCATCTGTCGTAACAGTCCTTCAGGGCAGGAGAGATGGTGCGCGAGTTTGGATTGTTGCATGCTGAAACCAGTTCTGGTTCCTCCATCACTGCATTTTCCTCTGTTTCATTGACGTTCATGACACCTCCATCGTCAAGTCCACTCCTTGGTCATGAGCCCATCTATATGTTTCATCTCTTCCTTGATGGCTCGAGGTGTCATGGGCCCACCGAGCTATAAATAGTTCACCCTTATGTTGCCAGTCCAGATCCACCTGAACCACTTTAGTCTTGGCAGCCTGATCCACCTGGTGGTTGTTTTGATGTTCCTCAGTGGCCTGACTCTTAGGGACGTGGGCGTCCACGTGACGGACTTTTACAACCAACTGCTCTAGCCGGGCAGCAATATCTTGCCACAAAGGGGCAGCCCAGATAGGTTTGCCTCTGCGCTGCCAGTTGTTCTTCTTCCATTGCTGCAGCCACCCCCACAAGGCATTGACCA